GAGTTCCACCCCCGGTACCAAAAAAAAAAAAAAAAGAAAAAAAAAACTAGGTCAGTTTTCTTCAGACATGTCTTTCTAATATCACTTTTATATTTTTTTCATATTCACACTTCACTTACAAAATTAATAATTTTGTTTCATAAATTTCTTTAAATTGGCATTTGAACTTCTTTAAACAAAACTTTGTATCACTGTCATAAATGGGAAACTAGTATAATTTGCCATAAATAGAATATAACTTAAAATATAAAATTGATAATAAAATAATGTTATTAAGTTATAACTAGATTTCCTTACCTCCTAAAGGCTGAGGCTGATGCCTATTCTCTATTTGGAAGGGAAATTTTTAAGAGTTGGAGATGGTCATATTAAGGAGGCTAAAGAGAATACTTTCTCATTGTGAATCAGTATCATTTAATACTTTATTCTTATAGTCCCAGATTATCTTGAGTACCTTCTGTATTCACCTTATAATCTATAATTACAAGTGGTTTCCGTTCTGTACTTTGACAAATATTCAACGGTGCTACTAAGATTTAACTTGTGATTATTACTATTATCAGTCCTGAAAATCATCAATTTCCTGCAAAGCCATTGAGAGAGTCCCAGAGCCACCTTCTTACTGATTCTCAGCCTTGGATAGAGAGCAGCACAAATCCAGGAAAAGGCAAAACTGGTAAGGTTATGCTTCTTTGGCTACTTTTTCGATATATTTTATTTTTTAAAAGTGAAAAATTCTAATTACCTAGGGATTTTTTTTTTTTTTACTTTGGAGCCACATTCCCATTGTAAGTGTAGAATTATTCTCAAAGAACTGTTAGCAGTAGAAAATCATTTTGTTAAAAAATGGTTTTACATTTACTTTTTTAAACCAGTTTAAAGAACCAAATTTTTTCACTGTATATTTTAAAAGATACAAATGTATGAAGTATAAAAATGAAGAAATATATCCAACTCAGAAGATGTATTGGTCACCTTTCTACTGCTGGAACAAAATACCTAACACCCACATCTTAAAGGAAGAGAGGCTTATTTCAGCTCGCAGTTTCAAAGGGTTCAGTCCATTGTTAGCTGGCTCCAACATAGAAACAGCACAATGGAAGAGCTTAGCAGAGGAAAGCTGTTAACCATATGGTGGCCAGGGAACAGAGAGAAAAGAAATCAGAGACAAGAACACCTCCTTCTGCATCACACCCTCAGAGACCCACTTCCTCCTTCCAGACCCACCTCCTAAAAGCACTTTTGGCTATGAATCTGTCAGTGGTTAATCCCCTGAAAAGTAAAGCCATCCCCATGATCAAATCACTTTCCAAAAATCCTACCCCTGAATATGTGAGACTTTGGGGGGGCCATTGTAAATCTAAACTATGATAGAACGTTGAAAAATATCTGCTGAAAAGAAAGGATCTTAAATTATATGCTGTGGTATTTTAATTTAAGACTTCTATCTAGCATCCAAGTGTTTAAGTAAAGGGATTGCATAATTACTATACCTTAGCCTGCCTGCAATCTCTTCAAATCTTCATTGCATTTCTCTTTTTATTGTTGTTTTTGTTTGTTTGTTAATTTTCATCTTCTAATTGCTTCACTCAATATAATGCATTAGCAAAGAACAAACAAGACTTTGAAGTCAGGCCTGATTACAAATTCTAATTTGGGCGCCTTTTAGTGTATATTTATTATGTTACCTAACATTTTTTAGACTTAGCATCTTTTCCTTTAAAATAAAACTTATTTTACAAGGTTAATAGGGATTAAACAAAATAATGTGATTATAATCCAGGTGTGTATAGACATTTGCAGTGCCACTATAAATGAGTACAAAACTGTACATTCATTCACAGTTCAGGAATTATTAGACAGAAAATCCCCAGACTGACTAATTTTACAAGTTCTTCAAACATTTTATTTCTAGTCCTTTTTTAAAAAATCACACTCACCTCCTGCTGACTTTGGCTTATTGCACTTTAAAGTGATAGAGAAAAGTAGAGTTAGTGCTAAGTAACTTTCTAATCAGTATTTAATACATGATCTAAATGAGGGTAAATGAGTCATTTGTAGGAAAATGAGTGCCCCTTGAGCCTGTAATGTTAAGTGAAATATATCACATGCAATCTTAAATATCACATTTGTTCTCTGGTATGAGAAACTCAAAGTATAAACAGCAAAATAAAAGATAATACGAAATAGGGAGATAGAACTATCTCAGATGGGAAGAGGACCAAGAATGGAGGGAGACGAGAGAGGAGGGGAAGGGGTGAAAAAAGAATTAAGATGTGTTATGTATGGGAGCCAGGTCCCCACCGAGAATGTAATCATTCTGGACTACAAACATGTACTAATAAAAATAAAAATGGAAAAGGTATCTAATAAAATATCAGTATTATTTTTCTAAAGTACAAGATTTCTTAAAAGGATCTTGTTTTTATAGAATATATGTGCCCTCCGAAAACTCCTCATAACTTGAGTATTCATAATGTGGTCTCTCTTTCCCATGAAGCCTGTCATTTCACTTTCCCATCTGTGTTGAGGACTAGGCATTGCCTAGACAAAACTTGATGGTACCTCTTTTCCCTTAAAAGCCATCAGTTCAATTAAAAGCAAAGAAGAGATGTGGAGATGGGGATCATTGTTGGGAGAGACAGGCATAAAGAGCTTCTGTTCTTTCAAAGAGGATTCACGTTTCATCTTACAGGGTACACCAGCAGAAGTGATCTCTTGATTTTATGTATTGATACTTACTTGGCATTTTAGAATATTTTTTTCCATTTGAGGGGTACATTGAGAAAGCAAACTTTAGAGGATGGTGTAAAAGAAAGGAGAAAAAACATGAGGAAGGGTTTGTTGGGTTTTTGTTGTTTTTTTTACTAGAATGTAGTAGGAGATAAAAGAATTAGGAAATTAGATGTGAGCAAAGCCTAGTTCAATAAATCTCATTATTTTGTTCTCCTACTTCTTCAGATGTATAGCTCTATTTTTAGCAACCCGCCCCCGTGATACTGTACTGTGACACTGTAGAAGGTGTGAGTGTATGAGTTCCTATAAATCATCTTACTAATTTCTGTACTCTATATACATGGCACCTTCGCAAGTATTCTAGGGGTTAGTTATAAATGAATACGTGAACTCTGCCTATTGTCAAAAAAGTAAAAATGTAATTTATCCTTGTTTTAAGGTATGAGCAATCCTGCATTAACTATGGAGAATGAGACTTAAATCTTCAAGCAAAATATATTTACATTTTATAAAAGTAAGATAAAGTTTTTCTTTATTGTTACTTTTATGTTTTCAACAGTTTTCCAATTTTCTTAGGCTTGTTTTCATACACATTACAGACTCAGAAATCTTTCTCACTTGATCTGTGGAATCACATTAATCATAGAGGGGCCTCTGGACATGAACCTAGCTTCAACAGTAGCTGGTATTTACAGGAACTTAATAAATTATGAAAACAAGTTGATGAAAAAGTTAAATGTATAGTTATCCATTAAACGGAAGTGTCATCCTAAATCCTGAACTTTACATGAAAATTATTGTCATTTTTCATTTCATAAGATCATAGATTTTATTAATTTAGTCCTTCAGGATATACACTCATCCTGTCTTTGACTACCCCTTAGCAGAACCTTTCTGAGATCAAATATTATGATTGTGTCCTATTAGCACAAACCTCTGTCATCCCCAGTTCTGATCACAGTAGGACCTTATATCATGCGTTATCCTTAAGATAATAGGGATTCCAAGTAATTTTTTTAAACTACAATTTTTTAAACCTATAGTTCAAAATTAATTTCCTTAAAACCTAATCTATTTAAAACCTGTAGGTAGTGAAAAATATAAGGAACCACTTAAACATCCAAGTAAAATACTATTTGTACCATTATAATAAATACAATATAAAGAGTTGGTCATTCAAGTTACTAGGACAACTCTGTGTACAAAAATACTGTAATCTAAAATCCCGAAGTCTAAGAGAAGCAACTAAAGTCTAAGAGAGCATCTACAAATCATTTCGAAGTACTTCATGGACATCTGAGTTTTTATTTGTTTCTTTGGTTTCAGTTTTGGTGAATAGTCATGCAATTAACAGCAAAGGCAGATCTGGTAATTTGACTCTTAAGTGGTATTTTTTTTTCATTAAGTTTATTGGTACTTTTTAGGCATATAGTACAGTTACATTCATCATTGGGACCTTGTACCTTTACATATGCATCTTGGTTCTCATTTTTTCCCCATATGCCTGCCCTTCCTTCATCCCCTCCTTCCTTCCCTATTCACAAGGACTTTATTTCCATTTTTTTTCTTTTCTCATATTTTTCCCTTTTTTCCTTTCCCCTTTCCTTCCCATTTCCCCTACTCCTTTATCCCTTTTCTTCCTATTTCACATTATCAACTATACAACTGGATAAAGATGTAGTTTTTCTCTAAATTGGAGTACTACTTAGCCATAAAGAATGAGAAACTAGAGGCATTTATAGCTAAATGGATGCATATTGAGGCCATTCTCTTAACTGAAATAAATAGGACATGCATTTGTAAATACCATATAGTTTCTCTGGTGTGAAAAACTAAAAATGTGAATAAGTTCAAATTGTATAATTGAGTGGCATTTTGATTTTTAGAAGACCAGGATTGGTTCTTAATCATGATGGTAGAGAAGAACAGACTGACCATAACTAGGTTAGGAGAGTAAAAATGTATTCTTCTAAATTTGATTAAATACAACTAAACAGTATTAAATTCCTGGAAATAATCCTTAGAAGTTACCTATGAATATGCAAATATGACCCATTAGCCAATATTATAAATAAAACATTTTACAGAAATAGTTCTATAAAACACACAATTTCACAGGATTTTTTTCAGTATTTCCAATCATTAGTGATGGCTACCATTTTGTTTGTAAGGTCAGCATGAACACTTTTTTCCATGTGTAAATATTTGACATATTCACATAGTAAAGTCATCTAGACTTCCCACTATTTGGACACAGGATAGTGAGGCATTTGTCCATTACTCTTCCCAACATCTTCAACGCTGCCACATACATACTACGTTCTCCATTAATATTTGATAAGACATCAATAACATTAAAATTAATCTGACAGAAGCTTGATTTTATTACATTTGTGTATGACATTAGAAGTTATAATAATAACCAACTAGCAGCATGAATAAAAACCAAAGACCAAAAAAAACTACCAAGTGACTTTCTGATGTAATCTTTTTTATTTTTTTTTATTGAGTTTATTGGTACATTTTAGGTATACAGTACAGTTACATTCATTATTGGGATCTTGTACCTCTACATGACAGGTCTTGGTTCTCATTTTTTCTCCTTGTCCCTGCCCTCCCTTCACCCCCTCTTCTCCTCCCCATTTACAAACACTTTATTTCCATCTTTTCATTTTCTCATATTTTTTTCTTTTCCCTTATTACCCTTCTCCTACCCATCCCACCTTCCCTACACCTTTAGTCCTTTTCTTTCCATTTCACAATGTCAGTTACCTCATAATAGTATCTTATGTACTATTACAGTTTATTCACACTAGAGAAACTATTTGGTATTTACATGTGTGACTTATTTATTTCACTTAGGAGTATATCCTCAATATGTATCCATTTTCCTATGAATGAATCTAATTTCTCATTCTTTATGGCTGAGTAATATTCCATTTTATAGAAAAACCCCATCTTCTTTATCCAGTCTCCAACTGAGGGGCAAATGGGCTGTTTCCAAGTCTTAGCTATTACAAACTGTGCTGCTATAAACATAGGTGCGCATATAACACTGTGATATGATTCTTTTAATTCTTTTGGAAAGATACCCAGCAGAGGGATGGCTGGGTCAAATGGAACCTCTAGTCCCAGCTCTGAGGTGTCTCCATATTGATTTCCCTGATGTAATCTTTTGAATTAAATTTATATCAACATTGGAAGTAAATGTTTTGGGGTTTTTTTGTTACATTTTTCTAAAGCTAGCTAATAGATACTAGACATTTTAAAGTCTAGTGCTTTTTAACATTACATCTCATATTTGTAGTTCATTTAATACACATTTATATTCAGTGTCTAAAATTTAAGAGCTTATATTACTGAATGATATCTTCATATATTTGTCTTTCGTAACTACATTAGTAAAGGATCTGTGTCCTCTTGGAATCTATTCATTGTTTGTTTTGTGGTGCTGGGCGTTGTTCCCAGGCTCTGCATGCTAACCATGAGCTGTACCCCACCCCAACGTCACCGCATTATGTGGCCTTTTTATATTCTTAGTTCAGCATAGTTTCCAGATAGTTATAAATCCATAGTACTGCTAAAAAGTAGATTAAATTTACCTTACCCACCCTGTCAGACAATACAAATTAAAAAGTGCTGTGTTCTTATGCATTTGAAGTATGAAATTTGTTTACTTGAATCTCTCTTCCAAATCATTTGACATTCCTAACCCCATCTGGCCTCAGATGAGTGCAGAACTAACAATGCAGAGTTCATTCAGACTATGGCCTGGAAGCTATAGAAATGTAGAACCTTAGACCTTATAGCAGAGCTGCTGAGTCAGGACCTGCATCTTAAAATGGATTTCAGTAAGATCCTACTTGTAGATGTACACTTTTTGAGAAGCTTGAGAAGCTTCAATCTAGAGGACTTTATTCAAAAACACATCTACCCAGCCTTCTAGCATATGAAGCAGTTTTGAATGAGGAATGTAAGTTATTCCAACATATAATAAAGTTATTTTTTTTGTTTGTTTGCTTATGGCTAACAACTTGTTTCATGTTTTCTGTTTCATTTCAAGATACCAGTGCTGTAGAAGAATGGAAGAGGCTTCCCACAGGAAGGTGCCGTTGGCCAGTTGTTCCTGTATTCATTTGGCTGGATGGATACACAGCTTACTTTTTCTCTCCTCTCCTTTCCTCTCCTCTCCTCTACTTTTTCTTTCTTTCTTTCTTTCGTTCTTTCTTTTTTTCAGTGCTGGTGATAGTGCCTAGGGCCTTGCATGTGCTAGGCAAGTGCTCTTCCACTGAACACCATCACCATCCCTAGATCTACAGAATATTAATTGATTAGTTAGCCCTTGCTTAAAGCATAACACATTTATTGTTATAACTAACACAGCATCCTATTAAGTATTAAAAGTAATTATGGGGCCAGGGATTTACCTCAGTGGTTCTGCTGCCTGCCTCGCAAGCACAAGGTCCTGAGTTCAATCCCTGGTACCAAAAAAAGTAATTATGGCTTATGAATCAAAGGGGAAATATCTTCTATCAAAATCTGGGAAAAATGCATGGGCTCATTTCATCCAAAGGTTTCAGTTGTATAGATTATCATATAGAAACCCCACTGACTGAATTTTTTATTCAAAAAATTGAGACTAATATTGTTTAAGATTTTTAAAGATTTAAAGTCAGGTTATAATGTTAGGCTTTATTTATAAAACTTATTAGTTACTTTTAAGAGAAACTGTCAAAAAATCAGACGTGATTTTTTTCTCTCCCTGATGTGAATCTGGCCTCAGACTATAAGTGAACTATAGTTAACTATGAATTCATTACAAAGTCCAAGTGGCCTACAGTTGAAGATCACCAAACATTTTTGCTAGATTTTAATCCTAATTCTAATCTTTGTTCCCTGCTAGAAAGTAAGTATAAAATTGAAGCTTGAGCTAACTGATATAGCAATTGGCTAGAAAACTTTTGTCAGAACTAATACAGTATTTTGACAAAGCAATTCTATTATATTAGAAATGTATTTTCATCTCTTCTTAAATGGATGGGGGCAAAATCTATGATAACAATTATGAAACTTAGTTATAATACTCTTTAGTTGGTTTTACTTTTATAAAATCTCTTTTTAGGTTGTTTCACCTGTTAAATTATACTGAAAATACTAAATCTCTATTAAGAATTCCTGATAGATCATTGGATTAACCCTGCAGAGGTATCTATATTATTTCTGTGCATTCTCATTAAAACTATGACAGTTCATTTATATTTTTCCTCAAATACCCATTAAGATTAAATTATGCAAATCATTAAACAAAAATCATACACTTTTAGAAGTTTAGCTCAATGTGAACTGAATGGTGAACTGTTTGGAAATTTAGTTTAAAATAAATTAAAAGGATGTGTTTATTGATGCCAAAATGTTTGGCTTCAGTAAGTATACTCAGAAGCTCTCGTGCCTTGTATGCACTATTTACAAAATGACAGTGATTCATTTTTTAAACAACAATATTGAATAAAGTGTAAGTTTTTAAAATGTTAACAATTAGGATAGCTGTATACTTTCTTTGGTACTAATTTAAGAAGTTAAAACAGATTATGTTTTAAACTCAGCAAAGCAATTGGTATAAACAAAAGTCTAATACAATACAAAACTAAAAGACCAGGACATAGTGGAGTAACAGATCCTTGCAGTTTCTCATCCTTCCTAAAAATATGAAGAATTTCATATTAAACATGTTTATGGAAGAACCAGTGTAAAGCAAGTCAATTTTGTAGTTCATTTGAGTACATTTTTTTCACAGTAGGATGGTAGTTTTTTTCATTTTTTTAAAACTAAAGAGTTTGATGACAATCAGCTTGAAGAAATCTCAGATGATACAATACATTTTCACTTTTACCTTCAAGTATTTTTTGGTCACTTGTCATTACCTGAAGTGCCAGACTGGAACCTATAGCTCCTGCTAGAAGTCTTAAGGGCAACAGTATCATGTGATTAATTATATGCAAGCAGATTTTTTGAAAGCACAGTACTTACTATAATTGTTTTCCTGGACAGGATCAAACTGTAAGCCAAGAAAAAATAAGAGGGATTTTAATCTTTTACTCGATTACAATATTGTTAATTTTCCTCCCTTTACATCTTTTATGTACTTTCTTAAATACCTAAGTCAACACACATTAGAATGAGATTTGAAAATATTAAGAAATGAATAAACTTTTTTTCATTAACTTATAATGGTTCCCCTTCTGTTTTTATATAGTAAATAAACACTATAGGGTTTTGGGGGGACTGGTTTTGAATTGTAAAGGGTGATTTTTGGAGGTGATCCTAGTAGATATGCAGTATAACCATAACTGAGTGAATAGGTCTACACTTTGTGCATACATATATTAATTTACCTTAAAAACATTTTAAGTATTTTACTTTAAAATTATATAGTGGTTTAAGTAAAACTGAGATACTTCGACTATTCTGATTGTCCTTTAAACTGACAATTTTGCTTTTCCTATTTTTAGAGATGTTACCAGTTAGATACTAAGATTTAAGAATTTTTTCATTTAAATTATTGAAGAAATGCTTTGTATATAGTAGATAATTGTTTGCTATTATGTAGTGGAAGGGGGTTATTTTTTCCAAGATAAAGAACACTTGCATTTCAATACAGTGATGGGGCATTCAAGGAAGTACGTATCCACAAGTCCACTCCTGATACACCCTAATTTAAGTGTTCACCTTCCTTGTCTATATGAAATGACCTAATGCCCCCAAAATACAATTCCTTTAAAGTTATGCTTTTTCTAAGAATCTGCCAGAGGTACTAGTGGTAAAATTCACGTTTTCAATGTAGTCACAACATGATCTCTGGGGAATGGAGTGAGAAGATGGGAAACGACTCACTGGTAATTAAGTAATTCTAAAGGACAATTAAAAATAGACCACAGAGCTCATAATCAATAGACATTTATTGGAAATAAGGCCTTTTTTGACAAACTATCTTCGCTACGGAAGGCCAGTGCAAAAGATTTATAAACCATGTTCATAAAAAGTTAAGATAGCAGTTGTGATTCATACTTTAAGAAATCATGTGAAAAAATGTTACTCCATTACACCAAATACCCACAATGAAAAGTCATTATATATTGCAAACATGTTCTGATTTTAAAAAAGAAAATGTGAAGTTACTCCATTAAAGACTAGCAAATTTTCCCTATTTTGAAATAACACATAATACATACAAACTTGCTAGTCTGATTCTGAAATCATATTGCATAACTTGGTATGCTTGTCAAATAATTACATATAAAAGTGATTTTGATATCTCGAGTTTTTTTAAACCCTAGAACATATATACAAATCACAAAAGCAACTTCCACTGTAAACCCTGACAATTTCCACTAGTATGATCAGCCTACCCACACAGACTGCAAGTTCAACAATATATGGAAGAGGACTTTGTTATACATCTTAAGCATGTATTATTCTTTTACAAAAATACCACTGGAATTTTTTAGCCTTGTCTTGGTAAAAATTTGTAGTGTTTTTAATTGAAATTTTAGCAATCTGATTATGTTAGCATTAAATACTTGCCAACATTAGCAAAATCTTGATTTTAGAGTTAAGCAATCTGTACCCTGTCAGATTTCCTTTAGAGCTCATAACGAAAAGATGTTATTTGTTAGAGAACACGAGAAATTTATTATAATGATGCAAACCATGCACTTACTTGCCTATTCTTTTTCCTGTGAAGGGTTTGCTACTCTTTGGTAGTAGTGTCCTGGCTTGTGAACAGTGGACATTACTGAAGGGATGAGTTCAAGTCTTTGAAAGGTACGCTTACAGATCTGTGAATGTGAAGTATTTCCCAGCACAGTGTTCAGTGTAGCAGGAGGCTCCCAAGTTGGGTTTCTACTTTTTCCTTCTTCAAAACCTTTTTGAAACATGAAGTGAGGATGCTTGCCCATAACCGCCCAGATGATTAAGACTCCAATCTCTAAAACCCTTTAATTGTTCTTACACAGAGCTCAAATCTGATAATCTGGGTGATAATAGAGGCATCTCTAAGTCATTTGTAGCCCTTCCTTATTGCAAGAAAGTGAAAGCAAAACAAAACAAAACAAAACACCCCCCCAAAACAAACAAACAAAAAAACTGACAAGTATTCACAGATCTTTGATATTCTCATCCATTGCCACATTTCTGTATTACAAATTTGGGGAAAATGACTTAGGTCTGTCTTCTGAGTTGGGTTATTTTCTATTAGCACCAATTAAACTAAAGAGAAGCTTTTAATAAATTACTTTAGGCTCTAGTTTATGTTAAGAGCTCTCTGTTGTACAGAAAGGGCACTACTGTTTTATGATTTATGAAAACAAACTAACTTACATCATAAAAATGGCTTAACAATGTAAGGAGCTCAGTGGTGACCTGAATGTATTAGTATTTAATAGTTTCATAGTAATGGTGCTTATACAAATGGGGAAAAACAATGCTCCAAAGTAGAATTATGTTGATGCAGAATTAAAGAGCTGATACCAATTCTGGAAGGCTTCAATTCTTCTGTTGTTTTAAAATTTAGTTATCCAAGCAATGCTGCTGTCAGAGTTTAGATTGCATGTCTTTTTTCTGTCAGTACGTATGGCTCCCGAAAGTGCACTATTAAAAAATCCCAATCATCCTAATCACCTGTTTGTGAAATTCAACTATTAAAGAAATTACATACTGATCTGGGAGTAACATGTAAATGTGTTAAAAAGTTATAAAACATATGTAGGGAAGAGGTATAGAATATGAGTCAGCCCCAAAACAGCTACAAAGAATCAACGTATCAGTAAACCTCATGTGCACTGGAGTAATGACAACAGAGGCAATCTAAACCACTTGCAGCTTTTTCTCATTGCAGGGAAGTGAAAGCAGAAACAAGTTCAGGATTTTTTTGTATACACAGGATTCTTTGTACACAGGCATCCCAGTGATGCAAAGACAGCTGCCAACAATATTAATTCTTGTATCTTTTATTAAAACACACACACACACACACACACACACACAGCGCTCTATGGCACATGTTAAACAAAACAGGTTCCCATCAAAACCATTTAAGACCTATGACATAATTAAGATGTAAAATATTCTCTCTCTCCATTAGAACTTTCTAATAATTTGGAAGTCAAATGATAATGTGAGGGCCGGGGATTTAGCTCAGCCTGCCTTGCAAGTGCAAGGACCTGAGTT